GTAGTATGCGTGAGCGCTCCGCCACTAGCATAGAATATTCTTACGCATTGTAATAATAGAAATAATTTTTTCTTGCAGTATTTTTACAGAATGGACAAAATAAAGCGCATTAATAAAAGTGTTATCTCTAAAATATAATCTATTGAAGTTTATATTTAAATCGGGCACGAACTTATGCAATCACCTGATATTTTTTTAAACAATTATTTGTTTTTTTCTTTAATCAAATTCTTTTATCTTTCTTATTGTTTCCTTTTCCACAAAACGTGAAAAAATAATTAAAAATAATAATAAAATAATAATAATAATAATAATATTTAATAATCAATTTTTTTGTACTTGTTAGGCAAGCATTTAGTTAGCATTATTTATCTAAATCATTTAGTAATTATCATTTAGTAATCATTTAGTTATTAATGGCCGTTCGTTGCTCGTGCGTATCCAGATTCTCGTCGGTAATAATAGAAATAATTTTTTCTTGCAGTATTTTTACAGAATGGACAAAATAAAGCGCGACAAATTTTTATCTCCAAAAATATTGTTTCTAGAGAAAAATGTTTTAAATAAAAGTTGCAGTATTTCAAGGGGAACATAAGTTGATGTTATAGAAATGTTTGTTGGTAACGGTTTTCAAGGTTATTTCAAGATCAACTTTATTTTTTGTAATGGAAATCCTTATTTTTTATTGCATATTCTTATATATTGCTCCTTCTTGAGACCTTTTCAAAACACTATAATGAAGTATTTTTTCATTAAGTATTTTTTGTTATTTTATATTTTATATGAATACGATATTTTTAGTACAAGGAAAAATTATTTTTATTATTACGATGCGTAAAAATATTGCATGCTAGCGGCATGCGCGAAGGAAAAACGCCGTCGCGCCGCTGTAACGGCGGAGCGCTCACGCACACTATCAGGCTCGCGGCTCATGAACAACCTGATGTCCTTGACATCAAGTAAAAAAAAATCGTCTCAGAATTTGCTTAAGAATATGACATTGTAAGGACAGAAGGTTGTTTTGAATCACCCTGTATATAATACCTTATATGTGTGTGTATATATATACAGGGTGAGGCATCTAAGACAGGTTGCGGACCCATGTTCATAAGAAAAAAAAGTCTTATTTTGACCTCTAGAATACGCTCCTAAAGTTTAATGCATCATTTCAGATACACTCTGTATATATACAGGGTGGCCCACGTAAAGCGTTACAAGCTAATAACTCTAAAAATATTTGTCAAATCAAAAAATTGTTCATGAGAAAGTTTCATGTTTTCGAGAGGCCTTTCTAACTACGTAAACATAAAATTGTCCCCGCTCCCCTTCTAAAGAGGGCAGGGGGTAACTTTAAAATTTTAAGTGAAACCCACCATTTTTTATTGCACATTCTTGTAGCTTATCTCGAAAGTTTTTCAAAACACTATAATAAAGTATTTTTTCATTAAGTACTTCTTGAGTTATTTTATATCTTAATCTGACATATTTTGATATAAAAAATAAAATATCTCGTAAAATATTTAGTTTTCGATAATCATACCGTAATACTTTTATATACAGAATAATGAGACAAAATGAAAAGCTCTCGAGATAAGCTACAAAAATGTGCAATAAAAAATGGGGGGTTCCATTAAAAATTTTAAAGTTACCCCCCGCCTCTTTTAGAGGGGAAGCGGGGGCAATTTTATGTTTACGTAGTTAGAAAGGCCCCTCAAAAACATAAAACTTTCTTCTGAACAATTTTTTGATTTGACGAATATTTTTAGAGTTATTAGTTTGTAACACTACGTGGGCCACCCTGTACACGGGGTATTAAGAAATTAGACACGCTTTGAAGGAAAATACAGGACTTCAAAATAAACATTTTTTGTTAATGATATTTCGCTCTGCGGCATTTCGTTTTGGTTTTATATTATATTCAAACTTTCAATAGAGCAGAGGTCTTCAGCATGTTTTGACAAGTTGCATATAATTTGTTTATCATTATGAAGCGATACACTCGGATAGAATTGACTGACATGCATCTTATTTATAGAACAGCTAATTGTAATGGACGAACAGCACAGAGCAATCAATATTTCGACGATGTCATTTTTATATCAAAATTAATGGAAGAATTTTTGAGCATTTACTATCAAAAAAGTGAATCACTTTCGTTTATTTGTTCCATTTTTGGTCAAGATAAAAATATAATTTGTTTTTTCCACTTATATGTTTGTTTATTATTGAAACTCCTGTTTTATACCCTGTAATATTAAAACAAAAAATAGTAGAAAAAAATATTATTAACAAAAAATGTTTCTTTTAAAGTCCTCTATTTTCCTTCAAAAAATTTGTCGGTCTAATTTTTTAGCACCCTGTATACATATATGTATATACTTTGTAATTTTTAAATATGAATTCAAAAACGCTTTATTTCTCTATATATGTTATAATAACAAATACTGGAATAAAATACAAAATGATATATTTTTTTTTGGATCTGTTAAAAATAATAATTTTAATACTGAACCATGATAATAGAATATAATACAGGGTGAATCACTTAAGACCGATCACTCGAATAACTCCCACAGTTTTGGAGATAGGAAGAAATGTTCGAAGTAAAAGTTGTGTAGTATCGAGGGGGACATCTTATGGAGGTAAACATTTTTTCTCAGGTGGAAGTGTTTAGGAGATCTGAAGGTCATCTTCATACTTTTAAGTGGACTATGCATTTTTGAACACCTACGATTGAAGTCTTTTCCAAGATAATTTTAATGGTCATGGATATTCAAGATCGCGGATATGAAAAAAATTGAAAACTGAAAATTTATCGCAAATGTTTTCGAAACAGAATATTCGCGGTTTTATTAATTGAATTAAACCAAAATGTTATTATTTATGTTTGATGTGTGATCTTGAGCTATGTTACTTCATTTAAGCTACAATGGTTAGTCAATAACAAGATCATTTAATGTAAGTTTCGGAAACGTTCGCGATAAATTACCGTTTTTTCAATTTTTTTCATGTCCATAACTATTGAAATGGTCTTGGAAAAGGCTTCAAGGTAAACCTTGATATTAGCGCCGACCTCACCGATTTCAATGACCTTGACATATGTTGTCAAGGACATGGCTCTGAGTAATTTGCAAAAAATTTTAGCCGTCTCTCGTTGTTTATTACAAAGTTATTAACAATTGAAGATAATGACCGACCGATGCTTGCAACATAAAACTGCATATATTTCGGCATGAATACAAGCTCGCAACACTTTCCCATCCACACAAGAATTGTGGGGTAGACCTCGCTTTGCGTTGTAAAGTATATGCGTGGACACAGTGGGTTCCGCCCCTCCTACGAGAGGGCTCCATTTCCGGAAGATATAACCTAACCCAAACCTATTTCTGATTTAAAACTAAAATTTGGTTTGGGTTAGGTTATATCTTCCGGAAGTGGAGCCTCCCGTAGGGGGAGGGGGGGAACCCACTGCGTCCATGCATACACTTTCCCACCCACACAAGAATTGTGGGGTGGACCTCGCTTCGCGTTGTAAAGTATATGCGTGGACGCAGTGGGTTCCGCACGGAAGAGGTTCCACTTCTAGAAGATATAACCTAACCCAAACCTACTTCTGATTTAAAATTTGGTTTAATCCTAAACCCCCTTCCCCATATTATATAATTCCTTAAATATATAATAAATAACTTAAATATACAACTAAATACTTAAATATATAACGCTCATGCATGGAGAAAGCCAGTTAATTTATGTCTGCCGGGCCGGAAACTTTCGTAAAAATGTCGCAGCTTGTGGCACAAATTGGCCAGTCAACGAAATGGACAAAGGAACAAATTTCGGTATTAATCAATGCATACAAAGAAGAAATGTGAAATATCTCGTTTCTTCTTTTGACGTCTACAATTAGTAAAAGACTCAGAGCTGCTAATTTATTTCTCCACGCAAGCTCCATCTTATCTTAAATCGGATATAAAGAAGTTTACGTCTATTTGTCCTGTCTGCTTGATCAGCTTTCTACCACGCACTTTCACGCATGCTTCCACGTACAGCACCCAGCTCCGTGTGATGCAAAACTGGCAGCGGGCCTAGCTTTACATCAAGCTTCGTTGCCTATTCGCGACCCAGCATGATTACTTACAAACAAACCAGCTTGAAATCACGCTTCGTGGGCACTGGGCTTTACTTAGAGTCATGTCCTTGACAACATATGTCAAGGTCATTGAAATCAGTGAGGTCGGCGCTAATATCAAGGTTTACCGGCTTCAATCATAGGTGTTCGAAAATGTATGATCCTATTTAAAAATGTGAAGATTACCTTCAAATCTCCTAAGCACCTCCAGCTGGAAAAAAATATTCATCTCCGTAAGATGTCCCCCTCGATACCACACAACTTTTACTTCAAACATTTTTTCCTATCTCCAAAACTGTAGGAGTTATTCGGGTGGCCGGTCTTAGGTGACTCACCCTGTATAATCAAGAAATTAAATAATAAATTTAAAACAATAAAATATATATTTAAAAAAACATTTCTTTATACAACAACTTTTTAAACAATGTGGACTTGACACTTTTTTTACCTTTTCTTGTAATCTCTTTGTCGTTACGTTTCTTTAAGAAGATATTTTCATTTACTTTTTTAATCTTTAATGTCTTGAAAATATTCTCTGAAAATTTCGAATCAAAATTTCTTTAAATAACACGACGATATAATAATTTCTGAATCAGGTACGCGCATTCCTTCGTATGTTTATTAATCGCAGCCAATATAATAAAATAAAATTTCTGTATTATTGTTATTATGGACATTAATTCCATATTTCTCTGTCATAATAATATAATTTACGTTAAATATGACTTATTGTTAGCTTAAAAGACAATACCAAATTTATTGCAATAAGACACATTTCAATAAATAGAGTATTGCCTGTTACTATCTTCATCATTAAAAGATTCCCTGGAGATAAAAATAAAAAAAAAGAATAGATCATTAAGTCTCTTACTCCTGTGTCTCGTTGGTTTCTCGCCTTTGGGTCTACGTCTGCGCGTATGTATAGTATCTCTTCGCATAGTAACCGGGCGATTAACACCATGTAGTTTGTAATACAGCCCGCAAGCATTGCACACCATCTCGCCCTTCATATTCCTTCTCCAAATGGTTGTTGTCATAGTGCCACAATTTGTGCAAGACATGTCGACCTTCTTTGCAATGTTGCCACTTTGCTGATCGAATTGTTTTTGATCGTCCATCTAAAATATTGAATCAGCGATATTTCATCAGGCGTAATTTACTAACATATTATACATATTATAAACAGCAGATTTATGCACGAAGAAATACCTTTCCTTTTATCTTGTTCGACCATGTAGTAAAATCATGAGCCTGCTCTTCATTGTTGGGTTCATGTTGGTAATTGGCGACAATGTCCGGACTCGCTGGAGCCTTACTGGGATAGCTTTGCTTTCTACGACCTTTCGTCGCTATCGTCATTTCCTTACGACCGATACTGGCAGGGCTAGATGGGTTACTATCTATTGAGGCACTCTATACAGAGAAACTGGATGTCATTTACGTTTTTTTACTTCTAAATTTTTTCAAAATATATGTTTCAAATGTTTACAAGTAACTTTTATAATTGATCATAATTAGTAAGATAATAATTCCAAAAGAATCAGGTGTACATTTTTTTGCAAGTAAGGCCAATTTTATGGTATAATTTCTATATTAGAAACAATATTAAATTCCGAGATTAATATTTTAATAGTATCAAATTTAGATCCAACGTAGCTTATTAAATAAGATTAGTGTAAATATTTATTTATTTATTTTTTATTATTTAAGAAATATTGTTTATATATATATTGGATGTAAAAAACTACTCTAAAAAATAGGAAGACTAGTCCAAGATTGTATGAATTAGTAATAGGAAATATAATAAGATTCAATAGCACCGATATTACCAACCTATTCAATTCCTATATAAGTCTACTGGTAATAGAATGCATGTTTTTGTGCAATAATGTTTTATCAACAATTTATAATTACAGGGCGTCCACTTCAATTTTGCAAAAAAATTCCCTGATCTTCCCGATATTTTTGTTCAAAATTCCAGGTAAAGAAAATATTTTAAATTTTTTGATGTGCAATTTCCTAAAATAAATATTTTTATTGTATGCTTTTTCCATGTTTTTCACTCATACAAAGGAAAAACACAGAATCACATAAGTTTCAAGAGCTAGATATGTAAATGTACCGCAAAAAGTTGAATAGCTTTTGTAAGATAAACATCTTTTGCTTGCATAACATTTTCATTTTTTTATCACTAAAAATTACAATAAAGAATATATAATATATATTCAATATTTTGTCAAGACATTAAATATATAAACAGAGATAGATGTATATTTATAATATATTTTAAATACATAATTTACACAGACATGGCTTGACTATTTACAATATAAAAGCAAAATTATTAAAGAGAGAATTTTTTTTAATTCCCTGAATTTCATATCTTGTTCGACCATGTAGTAAAATCATGAGCCTGCTCTTCATTGTTGGGTTCATGTTGGTAATTGGCGACAATGTCCGGACTCGCTGGAGCCTTACTGGGATAGCTTTGCTTTCTACGACCTTTCGTCGCTATCGTCATTTCCTTACGACCGATACTGGCAGGGCTAGATGGGTTACTATCTATTGAGGCACTCTATACAGAGAAACTGGATGTCATTTACGTTTTTTTACTTCTAAATTTTTTCAAAATATATGTTTCAAATGTTTACAAGTAACTTTTATAATTGATCATAATTAGTAAGATAATAATTCCAAAAGAATCAGGTGTACATTTTTTTGCAAGTAAGGCCAATTTTATGGTATAATTTCTATATTAGAAACAATATTAAATTCCGAGATTAATATTTTAATAGTATCAAATTTAGATCCAACGTAGCTTATTAAATAAGATTAGTGTAAATATTTATTTATTTATTTTTTATTATTTAAGAAATATTGTTTATATATATATTGGATGTAAAAAACTACTCTAAAAAATAGGAAGACTAGTCCAAGATTGTATGAATTAGTAATAGGAAATATAATAAGATTCAATAGCACCGATATTACCAACCTATTCAATTCCTATATAAGTCTACTGGTAATAGAATGCATGTTTTTGTGCAATAATGTTTTATCAACAATTTATAATTACAGGGCGTCCACTTCAATTTTGCAAAAAAATTCCCTGATCTTCCCGATATTTTTGTTCAAAATTCCAGGTAAAGAAAATATTTTAAATTTTTTGATGTGCAATTTCCTAAAATAAATATTTTTATTGTATGCTTTTTCCATGTTTTTCACTCATACAAAGGAAAAACACAGAATCACATAAGTTTCAAGAGCTAGATATGTAAATGTACCGCAAAAAGTTGAATAGCTTTTGTAAGATAAACATCTTTTGCTTGCATAACATTTTCATTTTTTTATCACTAAAAATTACAATAAAGAATATATAATATATATTCAATATTTTGTCAAGACATTAAATATATAAACAGAGATAGATGTATATTTATAATATATTTTAAATACATAATTTACACAGACATGGCTTGACTATTTACAATATAAAAGCAAAATTATTAAAGAGAGAATTTTTTTTAATTCCCTGAATTTCAATAAAATTCCATGAGAATTCCCTAATTTTTCCAGGTACAAAAAAATCCCTGAAAATTCCAAGTTTTCCACGTTTTTCCGAGAAGTAGACACCCTGATTTAATTAATTATTTAAAATTCTATATATAATGGCGACCAAAACTGATGTTTCTTAAGTTTTCAAATATCAAATTGATAAAAATTCGCATAAAAATGTAAAGATATAATCAAGAAATATTTAATTAAAGTCTATAAAGGCATCATTAATAAGATTTAAACCAAAAACAACTGTTTTTAAATTGTAAAAATATTTTAAGAGGAAGCAAACACTTCAGTAAATGATGATTTGAGGGTGCCTTTTTGTTGACAAAAACCGTAATTTTTTAAAAATACATAGGTATATTTCTCATATTTACATTTCACATGTTATCAAGACAAAGAAATAATATTTAAAAAAAGAACACAAATGCACAATTAACAATTTCCATTGCAGATCCATTTCAAAATAAAAATATATTTTGTAAAACATTTCAGAAGTGTATTATTAAAATATCAAAATTTAATAATTTATAAATTAATTAGAAAAAGAGTATTCCTTTCCTATATTTTTGCTTCTAATAATACCAACATAATATTTTTAAAGATATTTTTTTATAAATTTGATTTATGAAAAAAGAGCTTGTTTTATTTTTATATCCAACGTAATTATTTAAGAAAAACCTATAATAATATTAAAAGTATATAAAGAAATTTAAACATACATATATAACATATATTTATCTTATATTATATTTTGGCTACATATATTGCATTTCGATTAATAGAGAAAAAATTCTAAAGAAATTCCCGGTTTATCTATTATCTTCACGGAATTCTACCTGAAAATAAATATGTTTTGAATAGAGAGAAAATCCTAAAAGATATTCTGGATTGATCAATGGTCCATCCAATGGCCCGAGGTCATCCCGTCTCATACCTGCCGGTTTTTTCTCTCTATTTAGTAGACAGACAGATGTTCGTATTTCGCAAGGTATATCGAAAAAAAATGTTTTGTCTGTTTAGAAGATAAGCACGCACGAACAAATCCAGAAATTTGCGAATTTCCTTACTCATGATCTTATAAAATTTTCTAAAAAGTTTTTTAGACCAAATCTCACTTACCTTATTTTCTAAAGTTGCTATATTCGTACGATTACCAAGCACAGGAAAATCAGTTAGCGTATTTTCTATAGTTGTACCCTGCGTATCCCTATAGAATTTGATTTGCGGAGATATTTTTTCTGAATCAATAGCGGTAATACCAATCTGCCTATTGTTAATCAAAGAACGTAGCAGATTTGTGGCTTCGCCGGTAAATCCATTATTTAACTTATCACCATTTGTTCGTGTGATTTCCAAACTTCTATTACTGCGTTAACAAATATAAATAGACAAATAATACATATAATTATGTAACTTTGCCATTTACTTATTGCATAAATTACGACACCTATCATTAACTAATAATTTATAATTTGCAATTAAACAATAATTGGATTAAAAGTCTGAATAATTGAATTAATACAAAATAATTTATAACTATTGAAATAAATTGAAATAAACAAAAGCAAATTTGATAGAACAAAAAATAGTAATAGTCATACATCCAATTTTGGTAAAAGCTGCTAAAATTAAATTTTTTACTAGTTTAACATTCTCAAATAATTTATTTCGTTATTTCGCAAATAATAATATAAGAATGCGAAATTATGATAATGCAATATAATGCAATATATTAAGAATATAATTCATATCTTCATGATTTATAGTTATAACATAATTTTTTTCTATTAAAATTCTAAACATTAAATATAAAGTATCCTACTTTATTTATAAAGTTGCACATAATATATTGTAGAATTCAGTTAGCTATAGATATTAAGCAAACATTTGCTAAACAAACAAATTTGGTTTACTTACCTAGCTAAAGCTTGCCACAGCTTCGTCGTTTCATGGTCAATGTTACTATCGGAACAATTGCTCTCTGGGGTATCCATTCTATTAACTGGACTACAATTTGCTGTGTTGGATTCGGAGCCATCATAATTGTCCTCAATTTTAATTCTCTTGTTAACAGTCATGTCATAACCATTTTCTTCGCTTTCAATTTCCTGCTCGTCACGATCCTCAATTTCTAGTCGTTCAGGATCAGAGCTGTTCGAGCATGTGTCATCCTCTGGTTCGCACTTAATATTTTCATGTTCTGGCATATCACTGTTTTGCAATTGTAGATGATGCGTTAGAGTTTGAGGTATTATGTTTTGATTAATGCTGGCTGGCTCAGAGTTAGACTCCTCATTGAATAATGTCCTATTTAACTCGAGGAACGATTGTAGAGGGCTTTCGCCTACTATTTTGGCAGTGGAGAGAGTCTCTTTCTAGGCAAGAAAAATAAAATACAAACATTAACTACCGTCCTTTTTATTTTTCTCTTAATATAGTTCCAATTTATTAAAACAATGTATAATTTGTTATTTAGTTCCAGATACCTGCTCATCAGAAGATGACAATTGCTTGGCATAGTCCAGGTACTGTTTAAGTATAATGTCAGACTTTTGCGACACTTCTCGGAAGTTGTGCAGTACGTCCAATTTATATACACATCGATGGCAAATAATTGACGGTAAGGTATCGCCATCTTTTACCTTATCAAAAATATATTATATGTTAAACTAGCCAATATTATATATAAGTCAAATAACATATATACATATATATA